GCTCGACATGCCCGGCGACTGTTTAGTCCAGCTGAATACGGTGCGGTCAAGAAATGAGCCGCGGCGTCTTGGTTGCTTCAGCAACCGATTCAGTGGCAGCAGGTGACAGAGTAGAGCGATGTACACATTATGCACATTTACATTATTTATATTTCGAAGGGAAATGCTACAGTGTGATGATAAAAGTAACAAACAAACGGATTTCCTCCGTTTTATTTTCATTACAAGCTATACAACAAAATTGGCCTATACAAATAGCCAGTGTACAAAACATGCATTCATAAATAAAAAATGACATTCACGAAAAAGAGAAAACATGCATTTTATTTGTTTATTCCTATGAATGTTTCTTTGTCCCAAAATAATAATAATAATAATAATAAAACTGTATGATTGTAAATAAATCTATCTTTTGTCATTATTGTTTTAGTTATTAATATAAACACATGCCAAATTCATCCAAGGTTTTCCTTCATATATTCAAATTTTCCATGTCAAGCCCAAAATTGTTATGTACAGTATCGTTTAAATGTTTTTATCTAAAAGGTATGTCGCAAATGCTTTGCTGCAGTTTATTTTTACAAGCACATTTGTCCATAATAGATTTTTATGAGCAGCTGTTTAACCTTATCAAGATTTGTTATTAATAATATACTTATTGCAAAATAATAACTACAAGCTCAAATTACAGTTTGTAAACACAACAACACACTCTTTAGGTCTGAGAAGAGTCTCATATTTCTTACATTAAAGCCAGTGACATGTATTGCCATATATGACAATATAGTTGTCAGTTGTTGATTAAAGCATTTATCAAATAAAAACATACTTTATATATAATAAATGTAGACAAAGAGAGAGAGAAAAAATGAATTAAAATGCATTACGCTATTTTTGTGGGTGATAAGTGTCAAGCGTCAGGGTGTTGTAACTATCAAAACTTATCACTAGCAAATATTATTATACCAAACTGTTAAGCAGTTTGGTATAATTTGCACATTTAATAATTTATACTTAATGTTTTATTTAAAATAATAAAGTAATAATAAACCCGATTCGTACACCATTAGTTCAACTTTTGTGTTTTTATAAATTTTTTTAATATATAGAACCATTGTGAATACAAACATTATGTTTGTACAAGAACTTTCATCTTCTTGGATATCCTTATTTGTCATTGTCCCACAACAAAACACTTGTTACTGTAAAACAATTGTATCATAGCTGACAAAAAGACATAGGCGAGAGTCAAAGGCTCCAAAAGGACTTTAATCCCATATACACACATTTATAAAAGAAAACAGAATATCCAGGTTCCATTACCATTTTTACAGTACGATACATTCAAGTATATGCCCAGATATTCATATCACATTGTCCCTCAACATCCTGTAGATTGCACTGAACCAAATGAAGCTGAATAACGTACATGTAGCTCCTACTCCCATGCAAATGAGCTCGTAACATATGTATTGTGAATGTATTAAGAGTAGAGCCCGACCGATATATCGTTTCGCCGATATTATCGGCCGATATGAGCCTGTTGCCGATATATCGGTATCGGTGAATATGCCGCCGATACGAACATTTTTTTTACAGAGCATATAACGCAGATAAAATGCTTGAAATGGTGTAATTACTTAGTTTGTCCAACAGAGTGCGCTCCATTGTTTGCTACTGGCGACCTGGATGAAACGCTTTAAAGCTTAAGTCTATGGAAAACCATTGAAACGTTACTTTGACATATCTTCTTAACGGCACGGCGAATCCGCACCAAATTCGGGGGATCCCTTCAGCTCAAGGAACCCTCTCTAACGCGAATCGAGTGTACATCTAGAGGCCCTCTTTCGAATGAGACCACTGCCGTGTGGATAGCCCCCGGGGTTCCGGAGTTCCAGGTGGTTAAATTCGCGGTCCAGCGCCGACCGATCTCGCGATCCCGGGAGGCTACCGACGCGCGGAGAGTGGCATTCGAGAGGGCTCCTTGAGCTGAAGGGATCCCCCGAATTTGGTGGAGAATCTGCTGGCGCGTTCGTGAGATACTGACACCAGTCAAAACTTTCCCTTCAGTAAGGAGGTCTCTTGTTCAGGCAGCAGCATTCACGCGTGGTCTTATTCGACCGTAAGTGCCCTGCGAAATGGACTTCACATGAAATTCTGCCATGATTCCAGTTCCAAGGGAACGTACACGTTACAATCAAAGGGCATTAAAGTGCGCGAGATGTTAATTTAAATTGTATTGATTTACAGAGGTATATTATGTCACACTTCACACTTCTCTAGTAAGTTTCGTCTGTGTGTGAAGACAGTAGCGCTAATCCGTGAATTGAATTGAATTAAAGTTGAATAAACTGTTCAGTGCACTGATGTCAGACTCATTTTGAATAAAGTTTGTTAAATTGTTAAATGCCCTGCCTCCATTACGTATCTCTGTCACGTCATTATAAGTGTTTGATCACCACATTTGCGTGATCATTGCAAAATTCTGTTTATGTATATACTGTATTCTATATATAGTACCAGTCAAACGTTTGGACACACGAATGGAAAAGTGTCCAAACTTTTGACTGGTACTGTACTATAATATACACATAGAATATCGGCCGATATATCGATATCGGCCTTTTTTTACCCCCAAATATCGGTATCGGCCCCAAAAAAAACCATATCGGTCAGGCTCTAATTAAGAGTTTTCTTAATGCATTATTATCAATGACATGTTGACTTAAGCCCAGCTTGATATTATTATAGTTGCAACTGTGAAAAATGATTCCCAAATGATTCCTCCTCTGATTGACTATACCAGCGATTGGTTTCATTGTAATATGAGCTCACTTCACACAAATAAACAAGGACAAACCTAAAAAAAATAAAGCAAATTTCTACAAAGAGTGCTTCAATCTTTGGCAAAATTAAAAAAAAAAGAAAGGCAACTGGCAAAAAGAATTAAAATAAGACATTCTAATTTATCTACTGACTGTGCATTGAGTGTTTCACGTTGATACTGATTTTGTAGTTTAACCATATTTATCATCTATAGTCTCACAGCGTATTGTACATTAAAATGATGTTGCATTGCACAGTGATTTATTGCATTTGCACTAAGACTTCTTTACAATAACTGCGTTTAAGTAGTACAGTAACTATTTAAAGGAATAGTTCACCTTAAAAAAAAAAACAGTCTTCATTTACATAACCTCATTTTTGGTTTTCGTGGAACAAAAAAAAGCTGAATTTCATCTACATACATCTCTTTTCCATACAACAACATTCAAAGTGACCACATTCGTCGAGCTTGTCCAAAATGGACAAAAAACACAATTCTATGTGTCTAATGCACTATATTCCAAGACTGTCAATGTCATATAATACATTTCTGTGAGAATCGGATTGAAATTTAGGTCAATTTAGGCCCAAAAGCTCAAAAATCTCATTCTTGTATTCAAACTGGTAAGTTGTGTTCGTTTGCGACAAATACAAAAACCAACAGTGTTTGGCTGAACCTCATGCAAACAGTTTAAAAGGAACACTCCACTATTTTTGAAAATAGGATCATTTTCCAAACTTTGCTGCCGTACCATGGGTGCAGCAGGCGCAATGATATTACGCAGCGCCTGAAAATAGGCTAACTTCCGTCAACATAACCAACGTGACCACCTGCTTGCACAAGGAGCATGCTGGGCACTATTTTCAGGCGCTGCGTAATATCTTTGCGCCTGCTGCACCCATGGTACGGCAGCAAAGTTCCTTGATTATTACGCCGGAATGAGAGTATAGTTCCTAGCCATATCGGCCTAGAAAATCACAACTTTTCATTTTCCGTCGGTCTTAGTACACGATGTAACTACAGAAGAGCCAAGTTTTAAATAGGAAAAATATAGAAACTCTTTGGTCATTTTTGAGCGAGATGCTAACGGTCTAATCAGATTCAATGATCTATGCTAAGCTAAGCTAAAAGTGCTACAGCCAGACCCGGAGATCGGCTGAATGGATTCGAAAACGGTAAAACTCAGCTGTTTAACTCTAGGGGAGTTGGAAAATGAGCCTATTTTCAAAAATAGTGGAGTGTTCCTTTAAGCGGCATTTTTGAAGGTGGACTCAATTTTAGAGCTTTGAGGGAAGGGAAGTTTATCAGCTTAAATTTCAATATGTTCCTGAGACAAAGCGATCGTAGGGCTTCAGAAAACTTGAAATATAGTGCCCGAGTTGTATGAACCGCTTTTATGGCATGTTCATGTTCGTTTCAGTGCTTGATATCTGTGGTCACTATGAACTGTCTTTGTGGTGAAATGAGCTGCATGAAGATTCTTCAGAAAATTCTCCTCATGTTCCACAAAACAAATCCATACGGGTTTGGAACAACCTGAGGGTGAGTAAACCATGACAGACATTAAATCTTTGGGTGAATTATGTCTGTAGTAAATTGCTTCTTGTTTAAAGTGCCCCTATTATGGATTTTTGAAAATTGCCTTTCATGCAGTGTGTAACACAGCTCTAAGTGAATGAAAACATCCTGCAAAGTTTTAAATCTGAAAGTGCACTGTGTATAAAGTTATTGTCTCTCAAAAGAAAGAGTCGACTCTGAATCATTGAAACGAGTCATTTTTAAAACGAATCCCAAGCCGTTTCATGTTGACGTCAACATGAAACATTAGCATATTCCCCGCCCACATGTTGGTCTTTTCTCGTTGGTCTGAATGAAAATGCAAATTCATTCTTTGCCACTAGGTGCCGCTTCTGGAGCGGTAAAATAGCGGTTTCTCCAGTAACGCTGAACACAAAGCAGCACTGCGCTCACAAATGCCACTTTATCAGGCGTTACAGGCGAGATGACATTAAAATGAGAACAATCACCGCAGATTAGCGTCACGCAAAGGAGGGGTTTGGAAAAATGAGTCATTAAACTAAGTGTTTGGGAGTCGTTGAGCAAGTAAGGTAAAAATAAATGCATATTATAAGACAATGAAAGTGTTTTTTGACCTTGCATGCATGTCGTCCTGTTGTTGGGGACTCCCAAAACCAAAATATGAACCTTTCATTACCCATAATAGGGGCACTTTAATGTTCAAGAAAATAAGCATGGTTGGAAAGATAATGAGACCATAGTTACAGGTTTCTGGAATTGCACGGTATAATGCTAGGTGAAAAGTAAAAAATGTGAACAAACCTTTTATTGCATTATATAGCACTTGATCCTTGATCCCATCTGAGGAGTAAACGTATCGCAAGTGCACGTAAAGAAACGAGTCTATACAGCCGATTCGCTTGAAAAGGAGAATGGATACATGGACTAGGTCATGGATCTCAAGAGCTAAAGCAAAGAAGAAAATGGCTGTTGAAGATGGTTTGTAGATCTGCACACTGATGCTGATGGCTGGAGATGAGACGGTAGTTCTGGCACTTCAGTCCTATCAGATACTGTCATAATCAGAGTCCTGTCGACTGCTGATAACGCCCCGCTCCACCACAAAGAAAGTAATGGTGCCCAGGAAGCCCACCAGCACCATGATGAGCAGCTGCCAGTGGAGGAGAAGGTAGTTGCTGTAGAAGAAGGCCACCGCAGCTGTGATGGACTGCAGAGAAAGGAGGAAACGTTGTAACGTCATGGGCCAAAAACACATACTACTCAATAAACAGATTTGTGGTCAATAAACTTGGGTTTTTCCGAAGACTGATTCTTGAATCTCATAAAACCATAAGAATATACATTATATACTATATATATATATATATATATATATACACTGTCTTACACACTTATATATATTTTTTTTTTTTGTTTGTTTGTTTTTTTTCCCCATGCAAAATTTATATACATATCCTGTAAATACATCATGGCATTTTATACTGCTTTTATTTTATTCTGATTTCAATACTGTAACACATACATACATATAATGGGAGTTGGGGGGGAAAGAAAATTCCATTACGCAAAAATTTTAATGATCATAAAAATCTTTTTTTTTTAAGAATAACAGAAATGTCTTATTTACATGAGGGGTGACCACTTAGGACAAGGTGAAACTGTCAAATACAAATATATTCCTGCAAAGAATATACATTTACTATAATTATTTTTTTTTTTTTTTTCACTATGCAAAATATATATACATATCCTGTAAATACATCATGGCATTTTATACTGCTTTTATTTTATTCTGATTTCAATACTGTAACACATACATACATATAATGGGAGTTGGGGGGGAAAGAAAATTCCATTACGCAAAAATTTTAATGATCATAAAAATCTTTTTTTTTTAAGAATAACAGAAATGTCTTATTTACATGAGGGGTGACCACTTAGGACAAGGTGAAACTGTCAAATACAAATATATTCCTGCAAAGAATATACATTTACTATAATTATTTTTTTTTTTTTTTTTTAAATTATATTTAATACATTTTTCTCAAATGTTTTCAAGTAAATGGGTGAATCTCATAAAACCCCAACAACATAAACAAATGATCGCCCCAAAATCAAAAAGGAAAGAAAGAAACTTCTTAAAATTAGCTTAAGGCACCAATAATCTCGATAGGGTTCTTTTTAGGACCATTATGTTCATGCCACAAAATATATTTTACACAATATATATCTGCAAAGACATATTGAATATGTATTGTGCCATTAATTTCAAATTTATTCTGATTAAAAAAAAATACTGTTAAAAGCCTAATTAAGACAAATGGAAATGCGGGAAAAAAAGAAAGTATCATGCAACTTTTTTTAATACATTTCATAATGCAAAAATTGACTTTTTTAAAGCAAAATCTAAGTTAATTATTACGTTTATATATATATATATATATATATATATATATATATTTGGGTGAAACATGACTCCGTGAAGCCATGTTTCATGAAGCCATGTTTCCACAGGATTTTTAAATCCAAAAATTTAATGACTTCTGATGTTAACAATTAAAACACTTTAACAAAAGGAAGGTTCAAACCTGTACAAATTTAAAGACAGCAAATGCTGAGGCACTGTCGTCCCGGAACAAGAAGCCCACAATGCTGATGAGCTGAGTGTTGAAACAACTATCACCCAGACCCAGCAGGAAACTGCATATCAGCGCCACAGTCACACTGACAGAACAAGCCAGAAAAGGGTTAATATACAGCTATAGCATCTTTATGTCTGACTCTATTCTCAATGCTCATCCTTGTTGGAAAGTCCAGTACTGTAACTGTTGTATCTTACCTGGGTTGGATAAAAGCCTGCATTTGTGTGCCTTCCTCTGGGGCCACGGGAGCATCACTGGCTATGTTGAGGAAGTGGATGTGATTAATCACGATTAATCGTTTGACAGCACTAATTATTCTTATTCTTATTACTGTTATTATTATTATTATAAATACATTATTAGCATCTAAAACAGTGTTTCTCAACCCTGGTCCTGGGCGCCCCCCAACACTGCACATTTTGTATGTCTCCCTTATCTGACACACCCATTTCAGGTCCTGGAGTTTCTTTTAATGAGCTAATGAGTTGAATCAGGTGTGTTTGATTAGGGAGACACACAAAATGTGCAGTGCTGGGGGGCGCCCAGGACCAGGGTTGAGAAACAGTGATCTAAAATAACAAATCTTAAGAGGTCTACTAAAGGTGTCCCCCAAGGTTCTGTTTTGGGCCCTCTTCTTTTTATCTGCCATTATGGTGTGAATTACCACTGCTACCACACAGATTTTCCTTTGAGGGACTGAACTTACCAGAGTATGCAAAGGGTACGCTCAGTAAAAGCATCTCTTTGGTCACAGCTAGCTGTATGGATCTCTCTGTTGAAATGAGATAAGAGATCTTAGTAAATGAACCAAGAAGTTAATAATATGCTTTAAAAACACAATTTTAAATCTTTGAATATATTTTGGTGCCACTTACTGAATGCCTCAAATGCCTGAGAGCACAGACTCTGGGATGGACTTAAGAGTAACAAGAATAGGAAACAAGGCAAAGGAAAAAAGACACCATAAAATATGATTAAACCAGTCCAGAAAAATGTCTTGACTTGCAGAAGTGCATAAAAATATGCACTTACACCACAGAGCTACTATCAGAGATGTCTGCTGGTAGTAGTGACTCAGAGGCATCAGTAGGTGCAGGTTCAGGGTCTGGCCGCTGGATCAGGAAAAAAAGGAAGTTGCCCACCAGGCTGATGACCGTTAGTGAGATGAAAACCGTCTGGCGGTCTTTATCTGACACCAAGAAACAACATTTTTCAGCTTTATTTGACTAGAGACCCATGTTATAATTCTGTCTAACCATTCAAAACTGATTTTGCATTAATGCTTCTTTTACAGTATCTTCATGTTATATGAAATAAGCAAACAATTAATTTATTTAAACCAATAATTACTGTTACAATAAAAAAAATCAATTTTTACACACATTATGACTGTCCTACAGTTGTGGGCGATTTCCACCAAATTGGCCAGACCATAGTTTATTATATAAAATATACTCACCTGTTATGTGACTCTTGCCACGCCAGGCAAAATATATGTAGAGATTACCAAAGAATAAGCTGTGAATAAAAGAGAATCAATGAATCATTGTTCCTCTTGTTCCTTCTACACATACTTGCCATACAATGGCAACAAGCAAGATGTACCTAAACTGCATCAATGCCCAAAATATTCCACTGTTTCTTCCAATGGTGGAATCTTTGGAGTTGATGGTGAGCAGATTCCCTTGGGCCGTCCATAGCACTGCGAGACACAAAGTTAGTTTTAGAGAATGTGTGGCTACATAATATGTTTTCACAACTTAACAGATAATGATATCCCACCTGCAGCTGCGATTCCGAGCAACACGGATAAAGTGTAGAATGACGAGGTGTACGGATGAATGAAAACAGCAATATAACCACTAAAAGAGAGCACAGATTGAGTCTTTTTAATAAAAACGTTATCATAAATAACTAAGAAAATTGCTCATTTATTACTAAATTTATACTACTATACTAAATTAAATCCTTTAGGCACTTACCTGTAAACAAGTCCACTAAAAAACAAAGACAACTGAGGTCCAATGACAGCTATCACTGAGGGCGCTATAAGGTTAGACGCAGAGAATACAGCATAGATAATCGCCATGCTAAAAGAAAAGCATGAGAAGCATGTGTTAAGTGTGGTATTTTCATTAATAATGATCACCAAAGTAAATACAACATAACCGTTTCATTGTGTTTTATAGAAAAGCCAAAGTGAAAAATCCTTCTACAGGTTATTACTTTTTATTTACAGAAGGGGAAACAAGGCGCAATTGTAACCATTTTTCTCATAACTCATAAACAAATACAAATCTACCTGTCGTATATTGGTATAAAATAAACATGTGACAACAGTAATAATATTACTCAAATATTTACATTGAGAAATACTAGATCAAAGAGTTGAATTTAATCCAAGACAAGAGAAAGTTACAATTTGCTCACTTACAATGGTTAGAGGCAACTGAAACACTTACATTAAATAATAATAATAATTAAAGCTGCAAGCAGCGATGAACGGGCCCTCTCATGAGTTTTAGAGAATGTTTAGGCCCTCAAAAATGCGATTCACTTTGGAGAAGAAGAAGAATAATAAGAAACGGAGCAATTCCAATAGGGTCCTCACACCATCGGTGCTCGGGCCCTAATTATATTAACCCAATACATACCACATATGTACACACCTCAAAAGAATCAATATATCTAATCTAATATATAGCTATTCATAATACAAAAATTATGAATTGCTTATTTAAATATTAATACTGTTCATTAAACAATTTAAATATTAAAAATTATATCATAACCAGTTACAACTGCCCTAACATCATAGTCATGATAATATCCTGATAAAGCCACCAGATAATTTTGATTAATTTTTAACCACATACACACACTTTTTGTTTCTTCCCCCCCCCCCCAATATTTCACTTCCATCACAAAATAAATAAAAATGGCAAAATTATAAAATTTCTCATGGAAGGAAAACTCTATAGAGTCCGTGCTGAATAAGTGACACAGTCACACGCCAACCGCTTACATTTCTGTTTCAAAGTTCTGGGGTTTTTTTGTTTTTGAGAACAGACAGTGCTTCTTTGTTACATAACCATGGTCAATGTGATTCCTGAGGTCAAAGAGAGATTCATTAGATTACAGCACAACATCAGATGACCCGATTTTCATGCATCAGCCATCATAAATCTCATTCAAAAAGGGTACACAGGCCAAAACATGTCACATGACTTGAGCAGAAATAGAGCACAGCTGTGGGATTCTGAAAGTAAAAATCCCATTCATCGCTTTTGTGTGTATGTGGATATTTTACAATACACTTCTATTGCAATTTTCGTATCATTTTTAATAAATGCACTTTTTACTGCCATTTTTTGTGTGTCATTTGCAATGCTTATGCAATTAACTATGCATAAAAGACGTCTAGTACACAGTCTCGCAATTTTATATCCTTTTCAAATCAGCATTTCTAATGTTGTGCTTCATACGGGAGCTGACTGGCTGAAGTTTTTTTAATACCCATTGAAAAAAAAGCGAATGAGAAAGTTACTTCTGGCACCTGAAGGCCACTGAAAAAAGTAGGTGGATAGCTCTATAAAGAATGTGGCTCTGAAGGAAGAAATGAAGAAAACGAATACCTTGTGTAGCCACTTCCATGAAACTCTGTACTGTTGAAACTCTTTATTACGGTTTGCTGGAAAAAAGTGAAAATGTTGGTTTGAATACATTCTTATAAGCCTAGCCGAATCTGATGTGATAACATTCATCAGATCATGCATTTCTAAGTGTGAAAAACCTCAAAACCCAAATCTGATGTGATAACGTTCATCAGATCATGCATTTCTAAGCGTGAAAAAGCTCAAAACCCAAATCTGATGTGATAACGTTCATCAGATCATGCATTTCTAAGTGTGAAAAAGCTCAAAACCTACTTCAATATTCCCACAGGTGCCGAAGGCAGTAAACATAACCATGAACCCCAAGCCCAGGATTATGATGTTCAGCAGGGTCTTTCCTTCTGGACTCATGTTGGCTTACAGTCTTTAGCTCGATGACAACCTGAGACTAGTGAACACACAAAAGCATCACAGTCAAGTAACACCTGGTTAAAAACGACTGGTTAAACCTGACCACAACTGGTTAAAAACCTGACCATGCTATTTTCCATATGTTTGCTTCCTCATGAGATCAAACAGCTCTGAAGGATGTTAATTTATACTGAAACAGTTATTGTACTGCATGTGTGATGGGAATAAATCATGTTTTTCATTAAATAATGTATGATCAATAAATTATTACTCATATCATTTAGACTTGGACAACCGACTGCAATGATAACTGTGCTCAGTAAACTTACCGACTACTTGGGTGCGCTGATGTAAACAGCTAATTCATAATGTGAACACCGATATGGGGGGAAAAAACAGTTTGTAAAGCTGGTTAACGTAAAGATACATTCGTTTCCGACTTGTCGCTGTCTGTATCTGAAATAAAAAATGTCGGTCATGTGACATCTATCAGCTGGCGGTGACGTCATAACCAGCCTCCACCAACTGAATTGTGGGTAGTGTAGTTTTTCCGTACGTCAGTACTGGAATTAAAAAATGTATTAAAAGCATATAGTTAAACTGTTAAAGTTAGATATAATTTAGAGTATTTCTGAATTTGTCTTGTTGGTGAAGTGTATAGTCAGTAGAGCAAGCACAAACTCTCACATAGTCCTTATTTAGTAATCTATATATTTATAAATAAATAAAAAAGAGGGTTCATAAGTCACGTTTCGATGTGTGTAATTTCAAATAATGTTAACCTTACCTGACCCTATAAATTTAAAACAACTTTAAACTTACAGATTTTATCCATCAATCATTACTTCAGAAATGTTAAAAAAGGGATAAATATAAACTGTATTTTAACTATTCATTAAACTAATCATTAAAAAGCTTTGCATTTATTTTGGATTTGTACTTATTCAGTTATATTTGAGATACAGAAACGTACAACAATGAAAATAGTGTTCCAAGATGAGGCTCTCACTTTTATGTAAAAAATATACTTTTTGGCTTCACTGAATATTCTAAAGAGGATTAAAAATGATTTTATTTAATTCGTTTACTCATATATTTTGACCACATTTCACATGTACAAATTCAAGTCGTTGACTGTTATCTGATATTTTATGCCCCATTGTTCCATTTGCATGATCTTTATTTATTTATTTATGTATAAATACTTGTATAATGTTCAGTATCTGCATTTGAACGAAAGTGCATGTATAATGTTTATTCAATAAAAAAGCTAAATTAGAATTCTATTCCCAAAAAAGTTTTGTGAATTTAATATTTTTTCATGTCATTACATTGTTTAGAGCGTAAGAAAAAAAATTGAATAATAGCAATTTTGAAAACTGATATTTTATTAATATGCTATGCTATGGCCTCTGTATAGATAAACACCAGGACTCAATTAAAAATAAATAAATAAAAAGACATGAATGAACATGAATAGGCAAAAACACATTTTTTTTAAATCACCAATACATTTTTATGTTTCAGGATTTTAGATTTCAGGACGAAGTCTGCTGGGGAAGAAGGGCCTGCATCCTAAAACTCTTCATTGGTAAGGACACACAACACCTACCTGAGTTACAATTCACTGGAATAATGTGCAGGAATGTAATTCAGACTTGCAGATGCATCGCATTGGTAAAAATTGGACTTGCACAGCAGGCTTTCGTTCTGCTTTGACAATGCTGTGAATGGTGTTGAACTCAATGTGGAATAGTTGCCTCCAAGCTGCTGAATCATGGCAATGTAAAAGCAAGGCTGTGTGGTGCAGTTTGAGCTGGTAGAGGTGTACGTGATCCAGCTACCTGCTCCTGCTGGGGTTGCTTTGAAGCAGATGGGTGTTTTGGTGGTGCTGAGGTACGTGTACGAGACAATGGTCAGACAGTGTCCCGCCTTAGAAAAAGTAAAACGCAAAATTGCTGCCAGTTGCTTACTTAAAGGATTAGCTCACTCCAGAATAAAAATGTCCTGATCATTTACTCACCACCAAGTCTTCCAAGATTGTCTTCTGTCAGGTTTTTGGAGGAAAACATTCCAGGAGTTTTCTCCATATAGTGGACTTCAAAGGGGACCAATGGGTTGAAGGTCCAAATTGCAGTTTCAATGCAGCTTCAAAGGGCTCTACACAATCCCAGCCAAGAAATAAGGGTCTTAAATAACAAAACGATTGGTCATTTTCTACAAAAAATAAAATAAAAATGTATATACGTTTAACCACAAATGCTCGTCTTGCACTAGCTCAGCGTTCACGACTTCACGCGTTACGTATAGTCACTTTGGAAAGGTCACACGTGATGTAAGCGGAAGTACCAAACCAGTTTGTTTACAAAGAGAACATGCAAAGAAAGTCAAATGCCCTTTACAAATAAAAGGTAAAACAACAATGTCAGACGATTTTGAAGTTGGAGGAGAAATTGAGTTTTTCGCAGACGAAGACGCCAATCGCAGAGCTAGTGCAAGACGATTATTTGTGGATAAAATGTATATAAATCAAAAACCTACATTTTTTTTTCCGACTGAAGAAAGAAAGACATGAACATCTTGGATGACATGGGGGTGAATAAATTAATGAAATTTTTATTCAGGAGTGACCTAATCCTTTAAAGCTGAAAATGTGAATAAACGTAATAATTGCGTTATGGCATGAGTAAATTTTATGTCATAGACATAGTATGAAATTACCCTGCGTATTTGATTTAAAAATTTATTTTTTTTACTATGTATTTGAGATCAATAGATTAAATAAATATATATAGATAGACATTTCTATATATTTTATCATAAAAGTAAAAATTTGTAATATATAAATATATATTATCTATAATTATACACTCTTTGGATGCAAACCAGTTGAACATTATGTAACACTAGTTAAAAACAAAAGTATTAAAAACAAAAAATGATAAAACAATGTAAGACCAATATGATAATCCTGATTGGATGAGACACACATGAAGCCATTGTAAAATGACCATTATGAGCACGTGCGTGGACGTCATACTGCCCAGCCCTAGACGATACGGTCCGAAATCTCAGGAAATTGGCTTGCGTAGTCATTTTAATGTGATGCCGTTAGTACATCACATGCATCACCAATTTTATTTATTTTTTTGTTAATGGTTAACTGTCTGTATCATCTTGATCCCCAGAGACTGTGTGCTCCGTGTAATTGTTCCCTTCTTTCCCCATCTTTCATTTCCATGTTTTCACACGTCTCATCACATGTCTGACCACAGTTTTGTGTTCTCTCAGGTCCGTCTCATCGTGGGTCGATTCTGCATGTGTGACCTCGGTTGAAACCTGAGGAGCCTCGGATTGAAACCCCAGAAATCTACACAGTGGCTACATGGGCCTAAAGGTCATTATGACTGATTGGCATAGTTGAACTGTTCAATAGGTATATTGTTCTTCGTGTACATTGTTCCTATTTTCAGTGAGGTTACTTCGTTGAGTGGGACAATTGTCACAATTCTATTGGCCTTTTAAGGTAATGCTGTTTCAGTGATGGTTCAGAGTGTGCTAGCTGCAGTTGTGTAACTTTTATAAGACGCTGTATAGAAATTCATCTAGATTGGGCTTTTTTTGGTTAAAAATCTGCTTTAATTTGCAAATGCTCACATTTATTATTCTGCTTTACTTTGAAATCATTTGGAAAGTATGAATAGCTTGTCTTCTGATGACTGTATATACCAGTCCTGATGTTAAACCATTTAATTTTGGCCTTCCGTGTGTGATATTTGGATTCTAACCCAATGTCTTGTGTATTTTTTGTGCACTAGGCACAGTTGTCTAGCTGTTGAGTTTTGCAGGTTAGCGAGTGCTTGGCTGTTTCCGGTTTTCTTCAGATTGCAGCTGTTGCAGGCCGAGGGCAAGCAGCATCTGCAAATACCTTTTTGGTGGCATAAACGCTGTCATCTGATGAAGTTCTTTTATTTTGTTGTTTAAATTGGAGCATCTTAAACTATACGATGAACTTTGCTCTGTCCTTTGATTTTTGGATCTTTTTGGTTTTTGTTTGCATCAAATGTTTCTAATGGAACATTAATGCACTTGAGATCCCACTTGTGTATCTATGGACCAGTCTGCACTGCAAGAATAGAAATGGAAAAAGTGCACTGGTTTTTAAAAAGGCATCTGGTGAAAAATTATGAATGGAGAACCCTTTTAATATTACCCTTATCAGTTCCAAACTCTAGGGTATTTTACAAGATTGCTTCAGGGTTTCTGCAGGTCTTAAAAAGTCTTAATTTGTCTTTCCACAAATGAAGGCCTTATCTTCAATCGGAGCAGAAAGTAAAATTCATACAGTCATGGCATGGGATTAAATGCTGCTTGCACTGTAAAAAAAAATAAATACCTTCCTTAGTATTTTTGTCTTGTTTTCCAATAGAATTATCTATCCACCCTTAAAACAAGATACATTTACTTACTACAAAATGAAGATATGCATTCTTGTTTTCTGGGAGACTAAAAATTAAGCAAGTTTATGCTTTAAGCAAGAACACATCCGTCAATTGGGTACAAATAAAAACATGTTTTCCCTTTGAATTTAGTTGCTTTTCTGAGCCCGCTGGCAGATATTTGTTCTTGTTTTAATCCTAAACTCAAAACAATCCTAAAACAAGACTTCATATTGCTCATCAAGTACTCACTCACTCACTCACTCACTCACACACACACACACACTCACACACACACACACACACACTCTCACGCACACTCACTCACGCACACTCACTCACACACACACACACACACTCATCAAGTGAATCAATGTACATTGATTTAAGAATTTTGAGACATTTGCACTGGAAAACAAGACAAAAATACTGATGAAGAACATTTTTTTACCAGTAAAAGTTACTTCCATATTGTAGTGGTTGGGAGTATCGAGGGCTTTAAATCCATTCAACCAATCATACCAATCTCTTTCTCTGTTGACGTTCTATTGGATCTGTACGCTTGACACCCGACAACCAATCAGCTTCCAAACTGACAGTACACTATGAAACAGCCAGCCAATCAGATTCTTAGATTCTCCAGTACGGGCGGGATGTGAGCTATTAGCACTAGCAGTTAGATTGCGCCTTAAGGCGTGAAAGGTGCTTGCTGCCAGCAGGTTATCTAACTTTAGTTTATTATCCAACCCTTCAGTATATCAATCGCCTCCCTCTCTGAAATAAATATAACTTCTGTCCTTTATAGCGTACACCGCTGTCGGCAGCAAAAGAGCCGCACACACATCTACAAGGCCTCCAGTGACTGACTAGCCTCTTCAGTCTCCACGGGTTTTCATAACATAACAGTTAGCAGTAGCACACGAGCTTAAAGCGCCAACCCAAAGACGCGCTGAAACGCCGAGGAATGAACCATAAAAGTAAGAAACGGATCAAAGAGGCGAAGCGGAGCGCCAGACCCGAGCTGAAGGACTCGAGCGACTGGACCAAACACAATTACTGCGAGAGCTTTGAGCTGTCACACCGGACAGTGAAGGTAACGTGTAGCACAGGCGTTACCCGTCGAGCTGGACGCCACACGTTCGCAGCAGCATCTGCCAGTGGCTGCACACTTCCTCGTGTAATAAGACGCACTTTAAAAGTTCGTTGTTGCTAGAACAGTCGAATAGCAATGAACATATTTTATGTTTTAGATTAAAAAAAAAATATACGTCGTGTTGAGGTGTTTTTAGAATATTTTAGATATTTCTATTATATAAATATACAATATCACAGAGTACCATGGGATATTATACGCACCGTCATGTCACTCTAAAACTGTGGTTCTCAATCAGGGGCCCGGGACCAACGAGGAGGCCTCAGCAAACTTACAAGGGGCCTAAAAATGACTTGCAATGATTTAAAATGAGCTGCGCTTACACTGTCTGCTTGAACTACCTCATACATCCAGGTTTTTCCAAGTTTAAAAGTGTGATTTTTGTTTTTCAGTCAATAAATTAATGTAAGGTTAATATAATTTTAAAATGCCAGGGGCCTTTTAAAAAAATAAAGAAATAGGAATATAATTTTTCTAGTTAAGATGAGCTTTAAAATCTTTTATTGAGTTGTAATTGGGAGGGAGAGAGAGAGTGGGAACCTTGAAGAACGTTAAAAGTTATGGAATCCTGAAATGTAATTATTTTAATTGTAATTATAATTATTTTAGTTACATATTTTTATCCATAGACACTCGTAGTTTCTGTAAATAATAATAAAAAGTTTGAAAACAAGACCAAAGTACTTTGGAGACAAATATTTTGAGAGCAACTGTGTGTGATTTCTGTTTTAGAACACAGAAAGTGAAATTTTGGTGAGTCTTAAAGCAGCTTTTTTTTCATACAACAGTAGTTCTTGTGAATGTTGACCTCTAAAATGCACAAAAACACCATTAATTGGTCACTCACTCACACCCACTCTCACACACTCACACACTCACTCACTCACTCACTCACTCACTCTCATACACACACACACACACACTCACTCTCACACGCACGTACTCACTCACACTCACTCGCACACACACTCTCACGCGCACACTCACTCACACACTCACACGCACACGCACACTCACACGCACACTCACTCACACACTCACTCACACAACCAAAAGGGATGTAGATCTGGCTTGGAGACCTAGGGATTTAGTGTACTTGCCTGTGCATTTTGGCTCAGAGACCCAAACGAGAGTCTTCATGCAGCTGTTTCCATACAACGGTAGTTCTGTAGACTGTCTACCTCTAAAATGGACAAAAACACCATAAATTAAGTACCGCTTATGAATTATATTCCAGAGTCATACAGTAGCTTTGAGAAGCTGACCAAATAGTAATACATTAAAAAGCCTATCAGCGTGATGATATTGTCGTTGGGGTTTCAATGTCAAGCGCCACTGGCATCAATCCTGGCAGTTGACTTTTTATTCATCAGTGTTTACTTTTGTTGATGCTTATGATCATCTCCCGACGTTTTTGGCTTGATCTACTGTAAAAAAAAAAAAAAAAAGGCTTTTCTTTTAATCTGAAGGTTAAATTCAGTCACATTCAGGAACATGCCAGTTCTTTTTCCTGCTAAGCATCATCATCCACTGGCCTTCAACTTCAGATTTAAGTGCTCTGAGGTTAATGTATGACTTTCTTTAAAGCTACTGTGAAACGCCGTTGTAAAAAGCTCCATAGAAAGTAAAAACGACTTGCCTGTCTTTGTCCAGGACAATGTGGAGCGAGTGGACACCCAGCGTCTCAGTGCAGAGGAGTTCATTCAGCGTTTTGAGAAACCGTATAAACCCGTCGTTCTGCTGAACTGCCAAGACTCGTGGCCTGCCCGGGAAAAATGGACCTTGGAGCGACTCAAGCGCAAATACCGCAACCAGAAGTTCAAATGTGGTGAGGACAATGATGGCTACTCTGTCAAGATGAAAATGAAGTACTACATGGAGTATTTGGAGTCAACCCATGACGACAGCCCCCTCTACATCTTTGATAGCAGTTTCGGTGAACATGCGAAGCGGCGCAAGCTTCTGGAGGACTACCAGGTGCCCATTTTCTTTAGGGACGACCTCTTTCAGTTTGCGGGGGAGAAGCGGCGCCCTCCGTACAGGTAACCAGATGTTTTAGAAATGCAGCTATTACCTAACATTAAATAAAAGAATGAAGATGCTAAATATATAACATGATATAATTAGTTGTAACTTTTGATGAAAAATTGAAAAAATATCATTTTATTTGTTGCAATCACATTTGTGACCCTGGAGCACAAAAGCAGTCTTAAGTCGCTGGGGTATATTTGTAGCAATAGCCAAAAATACATTGTATGGGTCAAAATTATCGATTTTTCTTTTATGCCAAAAATCATTAGGATATTAAGTAAAGATCATGTTCCATGAAGATATTTTGTAAATTTCCTACCGTAAATATATAAAAACTTAATTTTTGATTAGTAATATGCATTGCTAAGAACTTCATTTGGACAACTTTAAAGATGATTTTCTCATTATTTAGATTTTTTTGCACCCTCAGATTCCAGATTTCCAAATAGTTGTATCTCAGCCAAATATTGTCCGATCCTAACAAACCATACATCAATGGAAAGCTTATTTATTCAGAAAATTTACAAATCTCAATTTCGA